AAAGCCGTATGAACCGGAGACACTACTGATTTTGGCAGTCATCGATTCGATCGAATGTCGAGTGTATCGGACACCTTGGACGTGTGACCCTGTTTAAAGGGTATATGATCCGAGGAAGTGGACACTGATCCCAGATGGATTGCGGCCTTCACACACCGCCTAGCTGCCAAGTCAAACGCTCCGGTTGCGAATTACCCAAGAAAATGTACTTACTCTGAAATGGACAGCCTAGCGGGGTCGTTCCCGCGAGAAAATAAAGGAACTTTTATCATGAAGAGTGCTGCACTGATTTGTTTGGCACAAACCGGAAACAGACTTAGGAGACACAATAATAATAATGAGCAACCAAAAACCATAAAATACCAATAACATCTCAGACGAAAATCCTCAAATGTTTGCGGACCAGTTACTAATTCAATCGGATCAATTACTAGATCATTTGAGCTGCTCGGGATTGTTGCATTTACCTATGACGTGTTATGGACGTATGAGCTGAGGTTAAATCCGAATGACTGCTTTAACCAAGCTTACTCCAACCCCGAATAAAGTGCTCCAAGTATGTTTAGATAGCAATAAAGTAAGATTAATTTAATCACTCATAAGCTTGCGAGAAACATGGAAAAATGGTTACAAGTGAAAACTGATCTCATCAGATGATTTACACAAAAAGACGGACGGTAAATCTTTTTCCTGAAAGAGGATTAGAGACCAACGGCTTGATAGGTCTGTACAACAGTTCGAAAAAAAGTCCGTTTAGCTTTGTTTTCGCAGAACAGATTGACTGTTTTTTACAGAGTATTGTACTTTTATTTGGCCTGGTCCCCCGGGGTTAAGCAGAACTGAATGCTACCAGGTGCGTCCCTGGGTTGTGGACAGAGAGATACCTCCACTGAAGAACGTTAGGTGCGAACAGGTGGCATATCGCAATAAATGGGCAGTCGCAAACAAACAGCAGCGGCACTTCCAGGGTGTGGTGGGTTTCAGACTGGTCACCTGACTCCTATTTAAAACGCCAGATAAAGTCGATGATGTAATCGTGACAGATGGATGTGACTGTTCTTTTGAAACTAAAGTGACTTCTAAGTCGAGGAATTACTTCCTGCTGCTTTGCAGTTCACACTTGGTTGTACGCCCTCAAAAAAAAAACGCCGTGACGCAGGAGACGTCTCCCATACCAAACTCCCAAGTAACTTCGTGATCACGTCTTCCACAAGCTTCGTTACCAATGATACAACGCCCCCGACATGAGACGCGCTTCGTGCTCCTCCAGTGTTCGGGGTGTCAACAATGCGAACTGGACCTCCTCAACCTCCTCCAATAAGAAAACACCTCTACGTGGGACGCTGGAACGTGAGAACCCTCTTGGATGTTGGGAGTCAAGCTGTGACTATGCGTATGCCGTGCCCTAAAGTCTTAGACACCCATTAGTTCTTCTCAATCCCAATTAATCCTAGGTGCCTCTTGTTTACGGGACCAATCGGATATCACTCAGCGCTCAACGAATAAGGTCAACCACTCAGAGGCTATCAGATTTTTGAAGCCCAAATCCCATTGTCACTGAGCTGCACTCAATGTCCGTACAATATCAGATCGGCCAACAAGCTGCCTTAGCTAGAACCCTTGAAACTTTTAATTCAGATGTATGCTGTCTCCAAAACACGCATGCAAGACCCTACACCAGTTATCTCCCTCCGTTCTTCATATCCAGCCTCATCCCCGAGCGTCAGGCGATTCGGCATCTGAAGCTCGCAGTGTTGCTGGCTTTGGGATTGCGCTGAGTGGCAAGGCCGAGTGTTCACTTCTTGACTGGATCCCGGTTAGAAGCCGATTCTGCGCTGTACGCCTGGATGGTTCAGTACGGGTCAACATTTACAGAACGAAGCGTCGATATGTTCATCGTATCCGCCTACGCACCAACTGATTGCAGTATGCCAGAAATGAAGGACCTCTCCCAACTGTTCCAAAGTGCTCGGTCAACGGACATTGTGGTACTCGCTGGAGACTTCAATGCTCAAGCGGGATCCCCGGACGAATCAGAAAGGCTACTTGGTGGTTCACATGCAATCCCAGCCAACCGAAGTGACAACGGAGAACACCTACTTCTCATACAAGAAAAGACACCGCCTTACATGAAGATCGCCAAACGCTTCAAAGTGCTGAAATTAAATCGACCACATCTCCTACTGGTCAACACCCGTGAACACGGACCATGCTCTGATACGAGCGAAATTCTCCCTACGCCTGATAAACAACCGCAGAAAAGCAACCGAAAACGCATGTCCACAATACAGTTTCAGCGACTGTTGCAAATCGGCCTTCGAAGCGGAACTCTCAGACCGCTTTTCAGCTCAACCATCAACCGGAGGACTCAGTGAACACTGGACGATATTCAAGGAAGTGATCCAAACGTCGATCAAAACAAAAGCAAATTCTGGCGCACGATCAAGTAAAAAAACGATGGATCTCACCGACCTCGGTTGCTCGCAAACCCATTCCTTCGGATTCAAAATACGACAAAGTGAGCAAATCCCTCAAACGCCAGCTCATCAAGAGCCTGAGAAATGATTGCGGGAAGTGATGGATAGGAAAGTGTAGAGAGATGGAGAAGGCCGTAGCTATCGGTAATAGTTGCAATCTTTTTCGTTTAATTAGAAGGCCCAAGGAAAGTAGGCGTGAGTGAAGTAATTAAGGTGTGATGGTGCACTGATTCGCGATCAGTAACTCCGTCTTGAACGTTGCGCTAAACATTTTAGGGCACAGTTCAGGTGATCCCCGTCAACACAAGCTATATCTCACCTGGCGGACGCATCACAGATGAAGTGTCGGCGCGCATACAAAGGGCTCGGTTCTCATTTGCCAACTTGAGATATGTGGGTGGTTATAGTGCAGTGGTGCAGCTTTGCTTTCATCCGGTTCAATACCCGCGTGTTGCTCATTACACTAAAGTGTAATAAAATACATAAGGTCCCGCTAAGTTAGGCGCGGTATTCAAAAGGATGACAGCACATCTGCCTACCATCAAAGTTGGGTGGCGGTGACGGTGAACCTCGATCATAGGGTGTAAAGCATCTCAACCGCTGAATTAACACCATCGTATGCGTATGCCTGTCCATCGTATACCTCTCCATGCTCATTGGACAAGGTTGGAAGTTGGTCGGACTCTGCATGGCGTGGCGGTACGTAATTTCAACTTGGGGTTTAGTTGGTGTAACCCGCCTTCCAAATCGGGTGTTTGACTGGAAAACATTAGTCCGCAGCATACATACTGACGGTCTAACTATGAAAACGCCGTGCCCCGTAAAAACGATAAACCAGCAAACAAAAATTGCGCGATGAGACAAGAACATAGACATCGTTAGTCTTGTTTTATTAATCCATGATTATTTGAGGTCCATTTGCTGCTTTTACCCCAATCCACCATCCCGTTATAATTTTTATTGCGTTGGCATCATGCTTTTTCGAAATACCACGGATGAAACTATCTTGATTAACAAGGAGCCACTAATTTGGTTAACCACGAGGGGTACATCACGTCGCAGTTTCACCGACAAACACTATAAGCTAACACTGTTGTCAAATTACTTTTCCGTCAACCCAACATTTTAGTCTCTATATCATTATCAATAATCAAGGGCCAACATTGAGAACTTGTGAAGTCTTATGCCGTTGAGACCCGGCATTACGACGCACTTGCTGAATTGAAGATTACCTGTTAAACACTACTTCGATATTATATACATATATATATTACATCGGCT